GGAATGATGTCGTGACAATGTTCCGCAAGATGATAAAGAGCCTAGGATAACGCCAAAGGCTCTCTAGTCCCCTACTTTTAGAAAAGTGGACCAATGTTGCGTAGTTTAAGACAAAGTCTTTAAGTATTAACCATTTCTAGGACTTGGTTGACTTTCCATTATGACGCGAACCTGTTCTAAAGTTATGCGCAATTTGGATAGTCACTTTTTGAGGCATAAGGCTTGCTAGATATCGAAAAGTTGACCCATTGAGAAAGGTGTAAACCATGAGAAGACTTCCTCCTGGGAAGTGAAGTTACTTCGAATTAGGCTATGATTGACATGAGTTCAAAATTATGATTTGTGGACATTGTGACCCAACTTCTCATCGGAGAATTAGATAAGTAGATCCGTAGGGATTTACCTTTTGCTTTTATGGAGAAATGATAGGAGTGCAAAAAGATTACTAGTTCCAACACGAAAGCCTAAACATGAACCCAAAATCACAAAGAATAAATATGACAATAGCCCAGAACTAAATAAATCAAAATCCAATCCAATGACATGTCACAAATATAAATAACAAAAAAAAAGATTAAATGAAACACAAACCGCCTACAAAATAAAATAATTCTAAATAAAATCCAACCACAATGCCTTTGTTTGGGAAGTGAAATGACTTTTTGACTTTTTTGGCTATTTTAGCCTGTGATTTGAGAAGGGATTTTGGCTTTTTTGACTTTTTTGTGAAAGAAAGAACTTAATGATTATGGATTAGATGTGTTCTCTTATTGGGCTAAAAATCATATTTTATTTTTTGTGGTTAAAATAACCAAAAACACCCAAGTTTGGGCTTCCCAAACAAAGGCAATGTATGCACAAAATCGACATAACAAGCTAAAACAAAATAATGAATGTCCTAGAGGTCCATACAATTGAGTCTTTGCTATGCCATGAGTCCATTCTAAGTCCTTCTATCAGCTGGAAATAATAAACTAAGTCAGCTAATAACTCAGTGAGTAGCAACATGGATAGTAAATACAGTTTTAAAAACAAGGTTCAATTCCAAAATAGATATATATCACAGAAACTAGATTGGCATACAGTTTTGATAAAGATAATATGTTTCAAAAAGAATGTTCCACAGTTCAACGATTAAGAATACTAATGTCTCTCAAAAACATAACAAATGACATTCTCCATTTAAAACAGATTACAACATAATCATCAATGATTTTCTAAGTACCAAGAATAACAAGTAACACGCCAAACAGTTCTCAAGGAAACAAGCTTGTTGGATCCAATATCGAACCAACTCATTCTACTCTATGTGGTCACCTAGCCTAGCCCAAGTCTTTTCCTTACAATTGTTGAGCACTAGAGTCCTCGCAACCCAACCCGCATATGTTCCCTAGTGGCCAGTCACCACACACAGTGGAATAATTTTCCTAAACTTTTATATACAGATAGTCCCAATAATCAATACAACTTAGTTTTCACAAAACATGGTAGTTCACCATTATAAACATAAGACCATAACAAATAGTTTACAGTATGCCAAGTTTACATATGTTTCAGAAATAATTTAATTACATTCATAATATAATAATTTATCAAAACAATTTAGTCCTGAAACAATTTAATTTTCCAACAGTTCAAGATAAGAAAACATTTATAAAAATATGTAGCATGCAACTACTCACTTGAAAAACGAAATAAAATAATCCTCGAATAGAGTATGAAAGTCCAACTAGTGCCCTGAACCAAGTATGAAAACTACACATTACTACTAATTCAAAAATACTAAAAGGAATAATAAATTAAGTAACCCTAAGCTAACGCGCACTACCCCAGCCCAACCCAACTCACCGTTACTCTTAAATAATACCTAAGTTCATGTTCTTCAAGGTCCAAAATTAACCAAGACACAGGTTCTGGTCGAAACTTAATTAAATGTGACTCTGAGATAAAACAGAATTTTAAACAAATTTTCACAATCTATTCGCTAACTTTGAAAATAAAAAACCCACTCCACGCTATTCAAAAAATTCCAAAACTCTCCAAATATCAGTTAATATAACCTAAGTTTCAAATCCATTTGGTTTTACTTGATTTGCTTATCAAAATAATTATTTACAATTAATTATATCCAAACAGGTTGTTTTCTGCAACACTTTAAAGAAATTACTAGTTCTCTTAGTATACACGAGCAATCAATGCAAGGCCAAAAATGTAAGAAACTAGACTCATAACCGGCTTTAATGACGCTGATTTGATAATTTTTGGATTAATACCCAAAGAGAACGACACTTCCAAATTTACTGTTTTGTACTAATTTTCTAGACAGATTTGAACGCATCAGTTTATATGAATTTTGACTCTCAAAAATTATGAAAAAATTCTAATATGAAATTGAATATGTGATAAAGTCACAGTAAAAATTTCAGTTCAAAATTCATTCATTAGATATAGTTTCTTGATTTTTAAAGTCTGTGATTTTAGGATCAAGAATTTCCATCAACCATTGTAACCCAAAACTTCCCATCACCAACCCCTAGCTTCACACCACCATCCATCATCCACACAACAATTCCGCAACTCAACGATTACCATTGTCTTATTTAAAGAAAACAACATCCATGCTTATATATAAAAATACTTACCTGTACAACTCCTTTTCTTTCTTTAATTTCCTTCACAAATGACACCCTCCTCTCATTTCTCTCTAACTCACAGCTGCTACCAGGGTAGTTTAGAAAAGAACTAATATCTCACCATTAGGGTTTTATCCTCCTATAATAAATTTTCAAAATAAACTCTTACTAACTATTTTATTATTATTGTTGTTGTTGTTATTATTATTATTATCAATAGTCTTTAAAATTGTGGACTTCCATAATAAATTTATTTATAGTTTAAAATTAATTAAAAGACCCTCCAATAATATTTAATTTGTACATTAAGATTCACAAGTAAAATATTTGAGGTTTGTAAAATAATAATTATTTATTTATTTATTGGGTTCTCACAGTTGTCAGCTTTCACAGCTCCTAAATATTTCATTTCACAAGTAAAGAGTGTAGTAACTATGTCCTTGTGGGATATTAAAGAGGGTAGAGGGATGTATAATAAAATTTGTATTTGGTGTTCAGGATTATGGGTTCTTCAATCAAGCTCTTCTTGCCAAACATGTGTTGCGAATTATTTCATATCCAACTTTGTTCGTCTTTGGTAAAGTGTTTTCTGCTAAGTATTGTGTAATAAAAACTTTCTAGAGCTTAAACCGAAATCAGGTTGTACTTTAGGCTAGCACAGCATTCTGTGGGGAAAGGAACTGCCAAAAGGGATCGAAGATGGGTTGTGAGAATAGCGCAGAACAGGAACAATGGATCCCAATCTTGCAGAATCTGCACTGCAGAATGGGCAAAGAGAAAATTAATTCAATCTTCTGTGTCTCACACCTCATAGATTGTGAGTCCAGGACTTGGAGGAACCCCTGGTTCGTACTCCATTCCAAATCAAAGTGACATCCAGAAAAATTTGTGGGGGTTCCAAAATGGGCCCTCTTTCTCTGGAAACTACTTCACCGCACTATACCTGTTAAATCTATTCTTAGTAATAGAGGCTTGGAAAAGAATGAGAATTGTCCTAGATGTGGAAGGAGGGGGGAAAAGATGGATTGCTTTGAATGCACCCATTTCAAGTGGGTATGGAAGTGATTAGAGCTGGGCTTAGACTTTGAGCAAGGTCAGGCTGTAAACTTTTGAGGAATGATTTAGAAGTTGGCTATGGCTGGCACCAGATAGTGATGCAATTATTATTATTATTATTTAACTCAATATCTGGCCCAATGGACCGACTAATTTGGAGGACCAATCCCCCCGTCTACTACTAGCAAGGAGCCCAATTAAAGCCTTATCTTATGGCAATTTGGTTACATTGGAAATGGGTTTGTTTTGATAATAACTTTTGTTCTCGTGAGAATTACAACAGAGTTAGTAAAGCACTTATGGGCATCCTGATCCAAGGCCAAGGATTCAAACTTTGAGTGTAGACAAATACAGTATCCTAGCTATGGACTGTGGAAGGATGATTACGCAGACTTTCATTTACATTCTCATCATCTTCTTTATAATGCAGATGAAAATAGAAAGCTTGTTGCAGTGGATGCAGCTTGGGTGTGAGACTCATGTGCAACAGGGATGGCTTGGGTAAGCTTAAACTATTAGGGCAGAGAGGAGGATCAACAATGTAGGTCTCTGTTCAGATCCACTCTGCTAGTAGCAGAAGCCAGAGCTTGCTTAGCAGCTGCACAGTGGTGCATGCAGGAAGGTTTCAGGGCAGTTGAAATTTGGACTGAGTACAAGGTGTTAGTCCAGGAGTTAATCGAAAGAAGATCAACAAACAGAGAAGTTGATTCCATAATCCAGGATATTTATGGTTATGTACTGTTTTTGGCTATATTGAGATTAGGAACGTAGATAGGATCAGGACCATGTTTTGGCCAAAGCAGCCCAAGGCCCAAGAAGCTAATTAATAATTGATGTACGGACGTCCATTATACATATATATTACTTCTGTATTTTAATCCGCAAAGGGAAGAAAAACTAGAATACTAATTGGGGATATTTTCAGAAACTAAGCAATAGAATGGGAGTTATTTGCATAATCAGAAATTTAGAATCAGGTCAAGGTTACCCTCTCCCATCCCCATCCGTGGAACAGATTCACCCCAGCTCACCCCAAACCTGACTTTATCCTATTAATGGCCCCACACAAGTCACATTAGGGTCAGGTGGATCACAGTTTTTGCCATCCTAGGAAAGACACTTCTTTTTTCTTCTTTAAGTGGCCTTTTCAAGTGCCTTTAAAAATAAAACTACAAACAATTTTAATTCCATAAATCTATTTATTATTAATGTCTAATGCTAACAACAACAGGACTTTGATAAATGCAATAGGAAAAAAAATAAAATGTATCACTAACATAAAGAAAATGCAAACTTTAGAAGAGTCCTCACGTTTAGCGGTGCATCCATATAGACATCCTTCAACCCGAATGAAGTCATTGTACTTGACCACTGTATCTGACATGCAAAAAAAAAATTTCTTGTCATCAGAAAGTTAAATAAGCCAACAATCCAAAAGTCAAATGTAAATTTAAATAAAATCAAATAAAGAAAATGTGTTTACCACGAAGACCGGTGGATGTTAAAGGGGCATGCAAGTTGTAGAAGGACCATACAGGAATTCCAGTTGGATCGTACTCGACATGCTGGAGATGAGGAAAACATTTCGCAGCCACTTGACAAATCCCAAGCTGACTATAGAGATGAATAAGGCCATCGTCGTTCAAACGACGAACAATTGATTTCGCTCTGGCTAAGAACACGTACGCTTTTGGGTGAGCAAGCGTGTCTTCAGTTATAGCTAAAACAACAAAATTTAAAAAATAAATAAAATAAAATAAAATTTGTCAGATGTGGAGTCTTTAGGGCAATTTGATTCACAATACTCTCATGCACAATACGTCTTAACGTGGCATTTCTATAAATAACATTTATCCAAATTGTTGTAACAAACAATATATCTATAAGTATATACTTAAAATAATTTCAATTATAAAAAAATTATAACTTCTTTAGGGCAATTTGATTCACAATACTCCCATACAGAAAAGGTCTTATTGTGGCATTTCTATAAATAACATTTATCCAAGTTGTTGTAACAAACAATACATCTACTAGTGAATAAAATTGAACTTGAAAAATAAAATGATATTCTTACACAAACTATAATCTTATAAAATTTTTATCAAAATAATATAGTGGTGGGATTTTGATAATTAAATGTTATTTTTATAGATGCTTTATTTTAAATTAATAAATGTTAATGTAGTTGCTTATTTTGTATACAAATTATATATATTCATATTCTTGATGTTTGTATTATTATTATTACTCTATTCTTGGTAACAATTTGAGGAATATATATATATGCACATTAAAAAAATAATAAACATGAATAATATCGTACCATATAAAATAGTGAAAAAATAGCTAACATATAGCCATCCCTTTTTTAACTCTTTAACCTATTTTCAAAACACTTTTAAGGCTGGTACAGAAAATAGTTTAATGTTTTTCCATCAAAAGATGGAATGAGAATTTAAAACTTAGGAACGAAAAGAAAGCATCTAGAATTAGACAAACGTAGCAAAATCAATTACACAAACAAAAGTAACTAAAGATAAGTTTTCAGATTTCAAGATGAAATGGACCCTAAAAAGTGGATAACAAATAGAGCTGAACAAAATCGATTGTATGGATTAAAACTGAAGTTTTACACAAATGCATTTGCAAAACCAAAAATAATAATAAATAGAAAAAAATGTACAGATGTTAGAACTTAGAACACATGAGCGCATCCAGAAGAATAGAATCAATAAACGTCGACCATAGATCAACTCCCTTTTTTATTTGGGAGTATTGAATACACCCATAATTCTGACTTTTGTTACTCCTCCCAAGAGACGATTACATAGCTACATCTAAACTCTAGGTCAATTCCAACTTGGATTTGGACTCTAATTCACAAAGAATCCCCAATTAAAATTCACCAAGGGTATCCATTTACATGACCCAATATAAAATCATCGGCAATCCAGAACCTTTCCTCTTCCCAAAACCATTTCAAGTTAAGAAGATGTGAAAGCACGTTTATCTCTAGTTTATCTCTATAAAGAATTGTGCGGATGCATATACATATAGCATACCAACAGGTGGCCCTACAAACGCTTTACACACAATCATTCCCATTTCGGGTTAAGAAGATGTGAAAGTGTGTTTATCTCTAGTTTGGGTCTGGAGTTGAATAGTTTTTTTTAATTTGTTCTTTCAATGCAAAGGGCGAAGAAAAAATAAATAAATATGCGATTTGAATAAAAAAGACTGATGTAAGGTAATATTAAAAAGTAATATATAAAGCCATCCAAGAGTCTACGGCGGCTATCATTATTAAAAGGCAATATATAAAATGTTTTTCTATGTGTGAACATATTTATATCGTTAAAAATTCACAAGACAAATAGATTTTACAGTCCTTTTGGATGGGGTGATTTGACGAGAAATGAATTTCTCTTGGCTACTTAAGAGGAGAGAAATGGAAAGAAACGAAGAGAAAAAGATTTCTCTAAAAACTCATTTTTTTAATCTCTCCAAAAGGGGAGCGATTGGAAGAGAAAAGAAATCGGCTCATTACTAATATTTGATAATACCAATTGCCCATCTAAATATGGAAGAAATAAAAAAGAATGACACCCATGTTGAAAACAACATAATAAACAAATCATCTGTTGAAGCAACCTGAAGGCCATGCCGAAAACAACCTTCTACAGAAAACTGACAATCCCAAGTAGAAAAAACTCAAAAGAAAAGATATCTAACTTTATGTCAATTCAAACACTAGAGACACCATTGCACAAGGTATCAAATTGTATAAGTACACTAGTTGAATTATTATCGAGTAAGAAAATTTCTTTTTGAATGATACTCATTGAAATTCTGTTTTCAATATTATTTTATACACTTCAAATAATTTCAATTAAATTATCAAATAATTATAATTTATAAGAACCATAATCCTGTGCATGTGCAGCCTTGTTTTACCTAAAGGATCCGCTTGCAACTGCTTCACAGCATTGAACAGGAAATCAAAACTTGCCTCATTCGAGAGTGAATCTGTCCGAAAGAACAATATATTCATCTTAGATACACCACTAGAACAATTTGAGTTACCTAAAACTATTTCAAGGAAACAGGGTTATGTTATATGGGGAGAACATATACATGCACACACACAAACTGCAGAGTTTGAGGTTACCTTGGGGAGTAATACTGGGAATGGACAAGGAAATTCTCGGCAGTTGATAGGGAATGATAAAGCCAAGGCAATTATCTCCTCCTCCATATTCTTTAGTGATTCTAAAAAGCTCTTGAAGCACACCATTAATAAGGCTATATGAAAAAATCCTCCTTTTCACCCTCAGGTATAGGAGAGGGGTCTCCATTTTGCGGAACTCTAAAACGCAACCCAAGAAGAGAGACTCGGGTAAGTTCCCAACATTAATGACACTGGTATGAGACCATGTACCGCAGTTGAGAGCCCAGAGGGACAATTGAGAATGACCCGTAACTCGAATGTATATTAGGTCGTCTCCGGATACCCCCAAATAACGGCAACTACAATAACCGTTGGAATATAACCCAGCATCCCTCATCTTCTTAACACATATGCACAACCCATGGTCATCTAAGTATTTGTCATCGCCCGGTAGGTTAATCAAGGAGAATGAAATGGTTTTGGTGCGAACATCAAAGGAGACGACACCCGAAGGTTCCAACAACCAATGCAAAGCCCCTCTACAGAAGGTGGACCGACCAGATAGTGCATAGCCGTCCCTGACATTGGAGGGGACCCTGTGATAGGTTGTCCTCCAACATGAGCGAAGTGAAGAATAAGAAAAAACCCGAAACTTACGAGCTCCAGTATCTGCAATGTCCACGATTGTGAAGCACGGATGGGTAGAATAAGGATCAAAAGCAAATCCAAATACCATATACCGTGTGGCAAAGGTTTCGTAATTGTACGAGAATCGGACAGAGACTTTATCACCAGTAGTAGGATTATAAACCTCATAGTAAGGAACAGGCATTGAAGAGTAGAGGAGGAGTAGGCCATTACAAGAGTTGATGACTAGCAGGGTGTTATCTGATGCTCCGCAATGGTTCGCAACACTGGTTCGTAGGCGATTGCCTCTGGAAATCGAAATCGAACTCGAACTCGAACTCTTATCATTGGGATTGGATGGGATCGCTCTGAAAACGAACTTGTTGTAGCTTGCCTGGTAAAAAAACCCTAAAAGCGAGAGATTTCTAGCCTCATATCTATCCACGAACTGTGGTTCGGACAGATATTGTCGCCACCACTTGGAAATAGATTTGAATCGAGCCACCGACGGCGGTGGAAGCCTCAAAACTACCTCCTCGATCAACTCATCGATCAACTCATCGCGTTTCATGCGTTTTTCCTCCTCCTCCTCCATCACCACCACCAATTTTGTTGCCCCAAAATTTCGTTCTTCTAATAAAAGGCAAATTGAGCCCTAAATTTCGAAAAGCCTGTTTGGCGAAATGATAACCCGGCTATGGTTTAACTCCTGCAACAAATTTAACCCTAGTTTTTTTCTTCAAATATATATATTACACTTTCTACCCCTAAATTATCATCAAATTATCTATTTAACCCTTAAACTATCAATTGAATCTATTTAGTCCCTAAAATATATAAATCAAAGTTTATTTAGTCCCTAAATTATCGATTTAATTTATTAAGTCCCTAAAATATTTAAGAGTAAGTATCATTTCCCTCCCTAAACTATCACGCATTTTTCACGCGCATTCATATGTTTATATCTATTTTAATTTAGTACTTGAACTTTTCACAAATTAATCAAGTAGACCCCTACTGTCACCTTCCGTCCACAATTGGACAGAATATGATGAGCTGTCTCCCTAAACTATCTTTTGGAGGGAATATAAGAGGGTTTCCCGCCATACACAACCTCTCCCTTCTACTATATAACAGAGACAAGCTCCCAACAACAACAAATTTAACCCTAGTTTTTTTCTTCAAATATATATATTACACTTTCTACCCCTAAATTATCATCAAATTATCTATTTAACCCTTAAACTATCAATTGAATCTATTTAGTCCCTAAAATATATAAATCAAAGTTTATTTAGTCCCTAAATTATCGATTTAATTTATTAAGTCCCTAAAATATTTAAGAGTAAGTATCATTTCCCTCCCTAAACTATCACGCATTTTTCACGCGCATTCCCATGTTTATATCTATTTTAATTTAGTACTTGAACTTTTCACAAATTAATCAAGTAGACCCCTACTGTCACCTTCCATCCACAATTGGACGGAATATGATGAGTTGTCCCCTTAAATTATCTTTTTGAAAGAATATAAGAGGGTTTCCCGCCATATACAACATCTCCCTTCTACTATATAACAGAGACAAGCTCCCAACAAAAACAAAAAAAAAATAGAGCATCTGTTTGGCAGTGAGAGAGAATGAGGAATAGAGGGTCAAGAAATCTGGGAAAATCAAGCTCAACTGAAGAAAGATGGAGTTCAAGTGACATGGAAGACCTGAAATGCATTTACTGTGGAAGACGAAAGGTGATACAAACATCATGGACTGATGCAAATCCTAATAGGAGGTTCCTCAACTGTCCCACTAATGGTTATAATCAATTCACCTGGGTAGACCTACCTATGTGCTCACGGGCAGTGCAAATCATCCATGGGTTGTTAAAGAAAGTCAATAAGCTAGAAGCAAGATTATAGACAAGGAATAGAAGAGAGAGAAAACTATGGATATGCTTGGTTGCCTCATGGTGCATTATTTTGTCAATGTGGTTTTTAATGTAGTGTAAGAAGAATGTAATAAGGGGGACTATTATGAATGAATGAATATAATGGGGGAAATATTATGAATGAAATGTAATGGATGGAAATATTATGAATGAAATGTAATGAGGAAAGTATTGTGAATGAAAATTTCAGATTTTGTGTTAAGGTTTTACTCTTAAAAAAACAGAGCATCACAGCCTTTGTTTGTCCCTTAAAAAACAATTTGTGTTCATCCTTACAAAAATAAGACATTATCATTTAATTAAAAAATAAAAAAACAAAAGTAGCATTGTGTGTTACTTTAACTATTTGTCATCCATTCATCAAAATAACTAATTGGTGGCATCTCTAAATAGCCCCTTGGCAACCAATGAATAAAATACCTATCACTGGTATCCATCCATCAAATGGCAACCAACGAATAAAAAACCTATCATTAGCATCCATCTATCAAATAACATTCATTCAATGAATAAAAAACCTATTAGTGGCATTCATTCAAAGCACACAATTGGAATCCATCCATGTAATGGCAACCAAAACCAACAAAAACTACATTTACATAGAAATGAGGAGTACCATCCATTAAAATAGAGCATCATGCACAAAAGCAACAGTCATAAATTTGTCATTCAAGTTTTCAAAACACATAATTGTTTGTGACAACCAAAATACTACCTTTATATAGTTAACAAGTTCGTGGCAACCATTCCAAACAAACAAACATTACATGTACAAAAAGCCCACAAGGAAAAAGTCATGTAGATGTTTTCTTATTGTATATATAAAAAAAAGAATCTTTTGTGCAATGGATGCTTCCTACTTCCAATCTCCAGGTGCTCCATGTTTCTGTCCAGTGGATGTTATTTTAATGCCACTAGCATTGTACACTAGCTTGCATCTCCACATCATTTGACCCTCCTTTGGTGTGCTGGTTGAACTCATTGGAGATGAAGTTGATTGACTTCCTTGTACCACTCTTCTTTTAACCTACAATAAGATTGAATTATCCACAATTAAACACAATCAAATATAGGACAGTTAAGTTACTATTTAAAAAAAGAACAAGAAAAAAGGAAGAACACTAACAGCCAGTTTCTTTTGTCTCATGTGTCTCTTGACCTCAAGTGCTTCTGCAGTTAATTGGCTTTGAGGTTGGCTTGGTTCAGTTTGGCTCCCATGAGGTTGGCTTTCTTGTATGTAGCTGAATTTGCTCTTGACCTTGCAACTTCTCCTGTTGTGTCCCACCTTTCCACAATTATTACAAGTCATTTTAGTGCCCTGCTTTCCTAGTTTTGTGCCTTGAATTGGTGCCTCAGTCTCATTTCTTTTATTTTGTTTAGAACTTCTAGCTCTCTTTTTCACATCAGGTGGCAGCACCTTTGCATACTCAGTTCTTGGCTACATTTCTCTACCATCAATAGGAGTCAACATATTATCATAGATCTTCAGATAAGTCTCTACCTTATAGTACTGATGAACGTATTTTTCTGGTTCTTCACCCAAGAAATTTGCAGCAGCCACAACATGGGCACGTGGAATGCTTGACAAATCCCACTTCCTGCAGACACAAGTTCAAGCTTGCAAGTCTAGCTTGTATTGCTCACCATATGGCCCTACAACCTCAAATTGCTCATTGCCATTCCATTTAGGAATCCATCCACCTACATCCATTTTCATCTTCTCCAAATGAATTTGAATCTTAGGACATATAGGACCATTGTGTCTTTGCATTGCATCTCTTCTTTTTTGAATTGTTTCCATCAACAACAACCTAATCTTCTCTAACATTGTAACCATAAGTTTACTTCTAGCTTCTAAGATACTTGAATTAATGCCCTCACATAGATTGTTTAGCAAAAGTTCACACTTTGGAAAAGTGTTGAAGTGGCTCCTACTCAATGAATTGGTGGTCTTTCAACTAACCAATCATATGCCTTAGAATCAACTTCTTTAATCTCTGCCATCACTCTAGTAAATGCAGGAACAGTTGTTGCCCTTGCAGCCTTTCACAACAAAGTCTCTACCTTATAGTACTGATGAACGTATTTTTCTGGTTCTTCACCCAAGAAATTTGCAGCAGCCACAACATGGGCACGTGGAATGCTTGACAAATCCCACTTCCTGCAGACACAAGTTCAAGCTTGCAAGTCTAGCTTGTATTGCTCACCATATGGCCCTACAACCTCAAATTGCTCATTGCCATTCCATTTAGGAATCCATCCACCTACATCCATTTTCATCTTCTCCAAATGAATTTGAATCTTAGGTCATATAGGACCATTGTGTCTTTGCATTGCATCTCTTCTTTTTTGAATTGTTTTCATCAACAACAACCTAATCTTCTCTAACATTGTAACCACAAGTTTACTTCTAGCTTCTAAGATACTTGAATTAAAGCCCTCACATAGATTGTTAGCAAAAGTTCACACTTTGGAAAAGTGTTGAAGTGGCTCCTACTCTAATGAATTGGTGGTCTTTCAACTAACCAATCATATGCCTTAGAATCAACTTCTTTAATCTCTGCCATCACTCTAGTAAATGCAGGAATAGTTGTTGCCCTTGCAGCCTTTCACAACAGATCTTTTAGAACCAACCCCTTGTGTTCACCCTTAAAATTGTTGTACAAATGCCTCACACAAAACCTATGTGAAGCATTTCGGAACAACTCAGCCACTGCATCAATCATACCCTTTTGTTTATCACTCATGAAGGTATAACAATGAGACTTTACAATATTCAGATCATGTCCTAGCAGCTCTAGAAACCACAACCATGTTTTTTTTTCTTCTCTTTCTCAACAATTGTATAGGCAAATGAAAACATGCAATTGTTTGCATCCCAACAACAGTCAAGAGAATACCACCATGTGACCCCTTCAAATGGCATCCATCAACTCCTATGATTGGCCTGCAAGCATTCATAAAAGCTTTCTTCAATGGACCTTAACACAAGCACAACCTTTTGAACTTTGACTCCGTATTGCTCCCATCAATAACCCTTGGATTATTCATTTCGTTAACCTGTGGAATCTATTTCACCTTCATGCAGACTGTTGTTTCAAGATTACTATTCCTAATCTCCTCAATGTAACTCCATAACATTGCAGACTGCTCAGCTGCAGTACCCTCTACTTGTGTCAACACCTTGTTTCTTGCCCTTCTCACTTTTTGTAAGTCAACCTTCACATTGTGCTCACTTGAAATAGTGTCTGCCAATGACCGAATTGGCCATGTAGAATTTAACCTAATTCTTTCAAAGTACCTCTTGACAATCCATTTGGAACTCACATGTACCACATTAAAAGACCTATTACAAGTGTGTTCATCAACAAGTGTTTTGATCCTATACAACCCATCATGTTTTACATTTGAAGCATAATGAACCCAAGGACAACCAACTTTGCACTCTGCCCTCACCTTTTGTTTGTCATTCTTGGTAAATGTTATATGTTTGCCCCACTCAATTGCATACTCCTTCACAGCATCCCTGAGTATATCATGACTTTTGAACTCCATACCAAGTTTGAATTGAGGATTGTGCAAATCAGAGTGAACATTAAAAACAGGGTATTGACTCCTATGAAAAGTACCTCCTTTATCAGATGAGCTGCCAATACTTCTTAGCTTATTAGAGAAGCTTCTAAGGCTTTGTAGGTCATCAACTACCTCAGCCATTACATTCTTACTACTTTCTACACCATCAAACTCTAACTCTTTGTCAACATTA